CATGTTTATATCATTATGTTTATGCCAGATTTATGACAGGCATGTCTATATTATCATGTTCATGCCAGATTTATGACAGGCATGTTTATATTACACTGTTAGACATTTCTGTAAATTACACAGTTATTTACTGTATTTCACCCAGTGTAATACTGCAAATTCCTTTTACGGTAAATAACTGTATTTACCGTTGCATTATGGGAATTTAGTATGACGTCGAACAACATATACAGCGATGTACTGTATTTGTAAAAATTCGTGAATTATACTGTATTTTCCACAACTGCTTCAACGCCACCTTGCGGCGATTCGACTACTCTGCACCACATTTTGCCTGAGGACCCTGGAGCAATTCTGGAGGACAATTTATTAGTGTGCCTGAAGAACATACTGGATTTAACAAACTTTACTCTGGTAAGCTGAGGCAGTGTTTCATTTTACAGAATGTTTTGTGGACGAGAATAGAACAAAGTAAAGTATAAAGTTGGCTATAATTATTTTCTCTGGCTTGGCGTTATTTCGCCCATTTGAGAAATATATCATCTATTAAGATGTTACCTTTATTTAATTTATTACATTAACACTACTATTACTTTAAATAAGACTGTTTTTGACTATTAGCCATTGTTCTCGTCATATCTTTTTATTTATTTACATAGGAACCGGTGTTGCAGCGGGTTTTGGTTTAGGAGGGAACCAGAGGTATGCAGACAGTTTTGGAGGACACTTAGCACGAGACAACGGTCCGGCAGAGAGTGTTTTCCCCCAGAAGAATATGAATGAAAGACCAACAAATAATCCAGGTAAAAGCGCGTCTGTCTGTGCTGACAACACTCGACATTGATTTGAGCACCTCTATTAGCATTTGTTTGCTCGGCAACATTGGCTGAAGCGATCTTAAAATGGTAATGTTAACTGTTAGCTAAACTGAGCTAAGTTTATACTGAATTGGACTCAAACTCATTTTAACGTGCAACGTTTAACTTATATTGATTTATACTATATATATTAGATGTTGTGAACTTATTTTTCTCTGGTTTAGATTAACTTATAACGTTAGCTTGAGAAAATAACATCGCGACGTAACCTATAAGAACGTTAACGTAAATCTATAACGTTACAATATGCATAGAGGTAAAGTTGGTTTTATATTCGCACATTCGTTCATTTAGAAGACTCTATACTGTTTACCATGTTACTTTGAATATTCGATCAGAATTAGCATGCCAGTATGACTTGAAATCAACATTAACACTGTTTATTTGACCGTGAGCATGTTGTACTTTGATAGTCATTAGCTGCTAAAATGATTTCGCTATTTAGAGTTTGCAAATAATACTTTTATGAAATTAAATTATTAAGGGGGAAGTCTGAATCTGCTAATATAAAACCAATTTTACCTCTATGCATTATGCTAATAACCACCTTTTTGCTATTTATTGTTTGCTAATTATTTTTTTATCACAACTCTTGACATTTGGTTTAACATAATTGTTACCATTATATTTTTTTCTGTTTAGATATGGCACTGGCACAGCAGCAGGTTTTGTCTGAAGAAACAAACAGCATTTCAGAGGAACATCTTGATCAGCACAGCCTTATGCTTAAAAAATAAGCAAGACCAGTAAGCAACCAAGGTAAACAAATAAAAAAAAGTTGTGTGGAGGTTGTGGATTGTAGCAGGGTATTCTTATCTGTATTTTTGGCTTTTTTATGGTCTCAATATAGAATACTGGGAGCCTGCCTGTGCAAACTGGACCTCATACAACAGTAAGTACTGTACATCTATTTGTTTCTCAATATATTAACGTTACTTTTAATACAAAATGTGTCACATGTTTAGTTGCTAGCTAAATAAAACAAATCGTTTTCCCTTTTTTATTAAACCATTTAGTAGGTTTTTTTTTCATCTTTGTTTATAATATTTTTGAGCAGATTGAGGTCTGTCATGGGTCAGACATTTCAAAATACAATAATTAGTATTGGGATACATGCATTTGTCTATGTATTAAATGTCTTTTTCCCCATTTCATGTTGCCTAAATATTTTGTAATAAATAAAATAATACAATTTTTTGTATAAATAATTCCAGAGGATGAAACAAAATCAACAACCAGAGTGAGCCAGAAGAAGGCAGGAGAAGTAGTGAAGAGAATGACAACCATGAACAACAGTGAGTTATCCTTCTTTCACCAGCTAACTGAGAACTTGGATTAGGTGAGACACTCTCAATAGTTTTATCAGTATTCAGTCAGTTTTAGTTTATTAGGAATACATAAAACAAATAGTCTAATCTGTCCTGCAGTGAATCAACCCATCACAAATGCTACAATGTTTTTGTAAAACCTTGTTAGGGAAAAAAATAAACAGGACATTCTGGTTAGTTATCTTTTAAACATGGTAGTGAGCAGGTTATGAGCAGGAGCCAGTTGCTCAGTACCAGCTGAAAACTACCCCAACCTAGCTGCCATGCTTCAAAATAATTAACCAGTATATGATTTATTTTTTTTAAACAAGCTTCTTCTATGCTTATGTTAGTCTGTTTGTCCTTATCCAGAGTTCTTCATAATCCTGGACTGGGCCAAATCCTGACCAGATGCTGTGGTGGTCATGGAGGAGTGAATCCTAAAAGACACACGTGATCAATGAGTTTCCGCATTGATCCAATGGGCCAGCCTGACCACCCGCTGGTGAACTTTCAAGCCTCTGGTGCCTAGACTGCGGCCTTGCACAAGTTTGGCTAGAGGAGAACTGGTCGTGCCCAACTGAGCCTGGTATCTCTCAAGGGATTTTATTCTACACTTTCGTCAGTTGGTGAAGTTTGTTCCATGCCACTGTCACCACTGGATCACTTGGCTACGATTGGTGGATCGGTGGATTTGCTCTTCAGTGTTTGGACTTTCAGCAGTGACATTTACTGCTTCAATTCTGAAAACTGGACTGAAGCAGCTTCAATTTACAAGAACTTCTATGTTAAGCTGCTTTGACATCATTGATCTACATTGTAAAAGTGCAATAGAAATAAAGATGAATTGCATTTGAACATGTGAATTCAGACCTTGTTGAGCATTTGACACCAGAACTAGTAATATTTTAAAGTTGGGTTGTTTCTGAGTCGGCTAATAGTTACAAATATTTATTTTTCCAACAATATGCAATTCAGAAGTTTAAATTTTTATTGTACATGTATGTTCTAGTGCTTTGTGTGATTTATTTATTTTTAATGTGTTGATTTTATTGCTTAATGTAATTTTCACACATTTTCCTTAAATGCTTTAAGCATTATTAATGTTTTAAAGAATGGAATATTTTGTAATTGTGTCTGGTTTAATGTCAGTAGTACTTAGTACAATTGTTTTTTTTTTTCTCAACAATATGCAGGTCAGACACTTAAATTAGTTTTGTACATGTATGTTAATGTGCTTTGTCATTTTCAATGTTTTTTTTTCTTAAAATAAAATATTTTGAATGATTGAAATGTAATGTTTTTACACATTTTTAAGCTTGTTTTAAGCATCTCCAATGTTTTAAATAAAGAGTGTTTATTTTGTTAATATTTTGTAATTGTGTCTTTTTTAGGTCTATAGTATTAAAATAATATTAATAAAATTATATTATAAAATATTTAGGACAAAATTAAAAGGTTTACAGTAGCTAACTGTTAACTTAGGTTTTTACAGTAGTTAACCATTTTCAGACACTACGGTAACATGCTGTAAACGGATTTACAGTTGTATACTGTAAATCTAAAATACAGTAACTTACTGGCAACAGTGTTGCCAGTAAGTTACTGTAAAAACCCTTTGAAATGTCTAACAGTGTATCATGTTTATGCCAGATTTATGACATACATGTTTATAACGTTTATGCCAGATTTATGACAGACATGTTTATATTATCATGTTTATGCCAGATTTATGACAGGCATGTTTATATTATCATGTTTATGCCAGATTTATGACAGGCATGTTTAAATTATCATGTTTATGCCAGATTTATGACAGGAATGTTTATATTATTATGTTTATGCCAGATTTATGACAGGCATGTTTATATTATCATGTTTATGCCAGATTTATGACATACATGTTTATAACATCATGTTCATGCCAGGTTTATGACATACATGTTTATATCATTATGTTTGTGTCAGATTTATGACAGACATGTTTATATCATCATGTTTATTACAGACTTATGGCAGACATGTTTATATCATTATGTTTGTGTCAGATTTATGACAGACATGTTTATATCATGATGTTTATGACAGATTTATGACAGACATGTTTATATCATCATGTTTATGACAGATTTATAACAGACATGTTTATATCATTGTGTTTATTGACAGATTTATGACAAGTTACATTTGACTTGGTAATGTCAAGTTGTCATGACATACAATTATAAGTTGTGATTTAATTTTGTTTGCATAAAGCCATCTCAAACAATGTCATTTTGCACTTCAAATTACACAACTGAGTGAATGACACTGAATGACATTTCTAATAAACATGCGAAAAATCTCATTTATACTTATGGTATGTCATGATTATAAAGGTCTTCCGAAAACCAACAAATGTCTGCCAAAAAATCCAATAGAAAATACAAGTATGATAAGTATGAGGATGAGAGCAGAAGTCTCAGCACATTACACTTACAATGGCCATGGGCCTTTTACTGCAAAAATAAGATCTCTTCAAGTTCAGTTAGATAAAAAAACTAACACCTAATCCCCCAGAACAAAACATATGGTGTTTTCAGCTGGGTATTATGTCTGATCTACTTTAGAAGAGCAGATTTTGAGCAACTAAATGTCAATATGTATCTATTTTCACCTCTTGACTCATTGTCTCAGTGTTCTCTGAACGTGTGAAACTGAGAATAGACCTGACATTGGAACATACAAAATTTCCTCCTCTGTATCTCACACTCCCTCTTTCCATTTCTCACTCCAGCACAGCTCTCTATATGTTATTAAAATGCTTTTCTCTCACCTTTTTGTCGCACCAGTCACGGGCCTGTATTCCGGTGATGAACCCCACCAGAGCCGGGTTGCCTTTGGGGCTAGTAGCATCAAATGTGACGCTCAAAGGGCAGCTCTCAGAGGGACGAACCACAATCTCCCCAGAGAAACCCTTTTCCCTCCAAAATGCCTGTGAAGTCAGATGAAAACATACAGAGAATTATTAGCCTTGAAAATGTAAAGCTTTCATTCTTTATTAAAAGAGATGTTAAATGGACATTCACTGCATAAATATTAACAAATTGTGGATAAATATGAATTTTACATAGATTTGTGAGTGTTTAGATTGTTTCTGCACACTGATTATCACACAAGTGGCTTCACTTTGTAACTAAAAAGTTGATCAATTTATAAATTACATAAAAAAAAATCGATCAACCTTCAAACTTATTTGCAAAAATTAATATCAATATAGTGATATAAAATGTTTTAGAGGTCAAATAGTTCATGCATTAGAATCCATTCTGATTTAGCTACTAAAAGCTCTGAAATTATGCACAATTATGAATAATAAATGGTAGATTTGTGATTATTCATATAAGATATCTGCATACTGATTGTCACTTAAGTGCAATTTCCTTTCAAGCTGGGCAATATGCGACCAGCTGTATTAAAAAATATGTTTTTCTCTAAAAATGTCTCAATCTTCGAACTTGCAAACTTACTGAAAAAAAGATGAAATGTTTTAAAGATCAAATAATTCCTACGTTTGTATCCATGCTATTTGAATTATTAACTAAGAGCACCGTAAAAAGAGGGAGACATGAGCTTATGTGTTTTCTCCCTTTTGTAAGTTGATTTGAATAAAAGCATTTGCTTAATTCTACTCATTTATATTTTACATTTATTCATTTAGCAAACTCATGCATACTTAAAGGTGGTCCCATATGTGGCTTCAAGTGCATTAATAAATGTGTTATACATAATTCATGAAAATATGCAATTAAAGATAATAAGGAAATATTAAAACACATGGTTTAAGCTCTTAGGCAGGTTTGAGAACCAGTATACCAGTGTGCTGCGCAGAAAATTTTTCTCTGAAAATTTCCACCTGACCCACAACAGATTTTACAGAACATTTTGTTAACATTAAAATAAAACTTACTTATTTAAAGTAACAAAAACAGTCTAATCTAATCGAACCAAATATCCAAGCTCAATGCATGCACAAAACTTTAAGTTAATCTCCTGATTATTCAACTGACTGACAAAATGGGAAGTAAAAATTACAAATAATGAAAAAGCCAACAATAAATGTAGACATTGGCCCTGTTCACACATACAGACATTTTTGGAAAATTAGCAATTTTCTGGAAAGGTCTGTATGTGTGAACAGGCCCTTTTTGAAAATACCAGTAAATTTGTTCTGGCTAATTTCCGGAAAGAGCAATTGTAACATCCCCGGTAATTTGGCGGAATGCTGAGCTGTGTGAACACACAAGGAAGATTGCCTGAAAGAGCACGTGCACATCTAGAACGCGCTGACGTGAGATGTCTATTTTAGCCAATTGGAACACTCGATTCTGAAACAAGCTGTTTATGAAAATAAAGTCCTTTGAATATTTTTCCAGACACAATTAGCTGCTAGATGTTAGTCAGATAAGGTTTACATGTTCCTTCTTAATGCCAACTGTGTAAATAATTATCGATAAGATGCTTATGATAAGCTGTTGTTTGTTTACCTTCAAGCTTTTCATCCTTCAGTTGCCTGATGCGTCGCGTGTGCCCATGAAGCAGCTGGTAAACACCAGCACACACACACACATATCATGTACATCTCGACATGCGAAAGTGTTTCTCTATATGTTTTCATAGAAGTTTTTCACAATACTGATCCATCCCCAGAGTTCGTAATGTAGTCAAATGTTTACAAATACAAGCCCAGCCATTTAGAGCTCATTTCTGGTTAATGATGTCAGAATTTTCCGATATTTTGGAATGGATGTGTGAACGGCCTTTTCCGGAAAAATTCCATAACGTCCTCGCATGTGTAAACATCGCTATTTTGAATTTACCAGTAAAGTCATATCGGAAATTTTCCGGATATTTACCGGTATCACTGTGTGAAAGGGACTAAAGAAAGTGTTTTTTGAATTTGCATGCATGTCAACCTAGTGTAGATGAATTTCAATACCAAAATATGACCTTTTCATAATACAGGGGTGTCCACACTTTGTCCTGGAGGGCCGGTGTCCTGCAATGTTTAGTTCCAACCCCAATCACCTGAGCTGGCAAATCAAGCTTTACTAGGCTAGGTAGAAACATCCATGCAGGTGTGTTGAGGCCAGTTGGAGCTAAAATCTGCAGGACCCCACCCCTCCAGGACCAAGTTTGGACACCCCTAAGTGTTTATGGATGTTTCCCAGTGATGGGTTGCAGCTAGAAGAACATTCGCTGCATAAAACATATGCTGGATAAGTTGGCAGTTTATTCCACTGTGGCGACCCCAGATTAATAAAGGGACTAAGCCAAAAAGAAAAGGAATGAATGGTAAATAATAAAATAAATAGTAAGTCAATATGTTTGTGAAGAGAATTATTTAGAAAAGAGAATTATTTAGATTTGGTTTCTAATCAAAAATCTCAAGTGACCTATTTAACCGAACCAAATTATTATTAATTATCTCCCCTAAGTTCTAACTATTACACGTTAGCTACAACAGCTTACCTGTCACGATCATTAGCAATCTAGCCTCAGCAGAATGCTAGAGAACTACAAATCTGTCACTGAACTGGACTCCAAATACTATCACGCATCTCAGACACACCAGTTCCTGATTCCCCCTGATAACTCATACACAGACGCTCATGATGAACTGATTACAAGGACTATATATGCATCTCACTCACAGATAAACTTTGCTGAGTGTTGTTTTTTATTGTAACACTGAAAAGTTGTTCTTTGTTTTGCCTTGTCTAGCTGTGTTTTTGACCATTTGCATAGTATGTTTTCATTGTTTTCGCCGTCTTTCCTGGCTATTCGCCTGTTTTTGACTACACTTCTGGATTAACTTCATGCTCCTGTTTGCTATCTGTTTGACCGTTGCCTGCCTAAATACTTTTGTGAATAAACTGCACGTAAATCCTCACATCTCCATTGCCAGTGTTCTTTCGTTACAATACCGTAAATATGTATTTTTGTTTTCAAAAGAATAAAATGGAACTAAAATTTAAATAAATAATAATGATAAATAAAAAAATTTCGAATTAAAAAAAATCTTAAAAAATAATATATATAAATATATATATACATATATATATATATATATATATATATATATATATATATATATATATATTGGAGTATTTTTTGTGTACATTTAGTTTATCAAAATTAAAAAAATATATATAATTAAATAATTATTTCACATCTCATGCACCAGGAAATTAGTGAATTACACACCATTTTTCTAATTTCCAAAAGACATTTCGCAGTTGACAGCAAAACCTCCTCATTTCATTGAAGTGTAGTCTAAAGTCACAGCAGAGCCAAGATGAAATATTAAATTAAAGTGAGGGCTTACAGTGAATGTGGTAGACTGAGCATGAGGCAGAGGCTCTCCATGCCTTTGCACATTTTAACTTCATTATGGCATTTAATGCAATTGAGCTGCAGGCCAAGTGACTGCACTGGGAAAGCCAGTAAAGCCAGCGCTGGTATAAGTGGATGAGCTACGCGTGTTACTCACAGTGGGGTAAGTGATGATAAACTTCGTCATGTGGCCCATGGGTAGAGACTGGATGAGGCGCTGGCGCTCAGATGGAAGGGGAGGCTCATAGTGGATCTGGGCTGAAAGGAAGGGCATAGGCTGAAGTAAATAAGAGCCATTTAGCTTTAGAAAAAAAGTGTGGATTTGATACTGACACAAATCAACAAGGACAATTGAGAAAGTTAACAACTCTATTCGAAAAAATATTGATCGGCTTTGTTGTTTACTGACTGTTAAAGAAACACTGAAAGCATTCTTAACAGTCAAAAGGGGAACAACTCTGAAGTAAAGAAACTCTAAACTTATTTGAATAAAATGTTAGCATTTTGCTAATCTAATGCTAGACTACAACAAGCATAAATAGTGTACATGCACAGTTAAGTAGCATTATTTGATTAGTTTAGTTGTGATAACTCAAAAACATGTGCTAATCTACAACATTTTATCATCAACATTTGATTTAGATGTTCGTATTTGGATTTGAATGCTAAAATGTGATTGTTTGATCAAGCAGGTATTTAGAAGAGGGTTTGATGTTGCCAAGCTAACGTTGTGAAGAGGCATAAACAGGTCAATTCTAAAAAATAGATACTGTAAGTAAGTCATCAAACAAGATTATAATGTTAGCATTTTGCTAAGCTAATGCTAGAATCCAATAAATATGGAGCAAATATGGCATTATTTAATTAGTTAGCTAGTTTAGTCATAATGTCTCACAAATATGTGCTAATCTACAACATTTTATCATCAACATTTGATTTAGATGTTAGCATTTGGATTTTAATGCTCGAATTTGATTGTTTGATCATGTTAGTATTTGTAATTACAAGAGGGGTTGATGTTGCTAAGCTTGCTGTAAAACTCTGAGGCATAAACAGTCAGTTCTCACTTTGAAATCTGTAAATAGTATGTCATTACACAAGACAATAACACTCACATTAGTAGACATTTAATTGTAGGTGTTCTTATTTGGAAGCGTTATGTTTACAGTATGTTAGCATTGGGATTTAGTAGTTGACTATGCTATAACGCATCAATTCATAAACATTTCAGGTAAAATGGTGTGTTTTATCAGTATTCTGTTTTTTATCGGCTCTTTCCTAATAATCCGACGCATTTGAATATGTTAAGCTTTTGTTTGAATTTGAATTTACAATCATGTTGCTAAACGCTGTACCTGAAACTCACAATTTTAGGTAACATTATGTAATATTATAACTGACGGCTTTTTTATTCATTCTAAGTCCTCAATGAAATATACGCTGGCATAAAATACATGTTAGCATTTACATTTAAAGTCAGTTTAATATTAGTATTTTGCTATGAGCAGGTGTTGTAAAAAGAATCATAAAAAGGTACTGTGCAAACAAATGTTTAATTACAACTATCAATTATATCTTAAAGGGGACCTATTATGCAAAATCACTTTTAAAAGGGGTTTAAACACAGTTGTGTGGCAACAGTTTATGAACATAAAGAGCATCCAATGATCAAAATTAATTAATGCAATCTTATATAAATATACTTGATAGAAAACAGTCTGCAGAAACACTTTGATTGACATTCTTCCTTGCCATCAGAGGGGTAAAGCCCCGCTCATTAATCTCTCTCTCTCATTAGCATAAACAGCCCTGAGTGAGAAGCAGCCATCTACCATTAGAGTTCTCACCTGCTGAAGATAATGCTGCCCACTGAGGAGATTATACATTTTTTCACATAGATAACATAAGTCATGTTTTAAATTTGCTGCTATGGTGACACACAAGCGTTTGTAGCTCCACCCTCTTTTGAAAAGAGCAGCCTCGTTTGAATTTAAAGCGACAGTCCCCATAAAGTCTCAATTTGTAAGGTATTTTGAGCAGAAACACACTCTAGGCATATCAAAGACTTGTTTTACATCTTAAAAAGGGGCAATAATAGGTCCCCTTTATTAAATAACTAAAACACAAGCTATTATACAACATCTTGATCACATTAGCAAGCATCTTGATTGTACACTGAAAAACATATTCGGCAAAATTGTTATACAATTTTATTTAAGTTATAACAATTTATATGTGTTGAATATGGGTAAGCAAATTAAATTTAGTAAGGTTCAATGTAATTTGTTTGTTGCAATTCAACCCATATAAATAGTTTATAACCACTTACATTTTGATAAATCCAAAGAATCATCTTTAAATGTTTTTTTTTTTTCAGTGTAAATGTCAGCATTTGGAGGTTTTCTGTATACGGTACTGTATACGTTGACTTCATGTTAACCTTTTTGCTATAAGCTGAAGTTGAGAAACTCTAACAAGCATAAAAATAGAGCATACACCTGCAACTACCTTACATCTGTACTTGCAGAGAGCTCATTGCGTGCATTATAGTATTGCTTTCTCTGCAAAAGATGCTTTGTAAAGCTGCAGCGCCTGAAATTTTGTCTTATTATGTTTTAGAAGGCAGAAAGATTAAGTAGTTACACAGTAGGAAGAAGAAAAATAATAATAATAACAAATGGTAATTTCCTGCCAGAACATTATCTAATAAATTTAGCTGAAATCCTTACAACACAATGAGAAATTCAAAATGAGTAAAACGCCTGTGAACCAATGAACACGTAAGCTTCCTACATTGGCTCATACTTCACTGACTGGCTTTAGAAACAAAGAAAATATCTCATGAACATAGCGGATTCTGGGCACCTGCATATATTTGGATAGAGGATAGGACTGAATAGAAATACAGAAAAACAGGAGACAGACTCCAAAATGAGAGGTAAGGCAAAAACAGAGTGCACCGGAAGACAGGCAGGAGGAATATGGTACAGAATAACTCATAGGTCTCAGATCATCGCTGGATATTGATTCAGGTAGCTATACCTTATAATCAAGCAGCACTTTGGCAAATTGGATGTAATACTTCAGTGACTAGCTCTCCATGGAATTGCCAATCTATTAAAGAATCCCTGCGATTTAACACTACTACTTTGTTTTCTTAAAAGCCGTAATTAAGGCTTAGGCATTTCTGTAAGTGTGGGGTATCCAATAATGTTATGTGTGCCCCCCAGGGCCATCTCTGTGTCTGCGTAAGGCAAACGCTGCCAGAAGGGACCCTGACCTCATTTTTGACAAGACAGCCATCTGGCAACAAGCCGACATGTGAAGCAGGGGGCATGCAAATAAATAATCATGCTGCACGAAAAAAAAAAATCTAATAATTATTGTTTAATAATAAAAAATAATATGCTGCATGGTTGGTCAAATGAAATGCAAGTGATTGACAATAAAAAAAGATTCAGTCAATAAAAAGTTAAAGAAAGAAATAATAAAAATTAATAATAGTCAAAAAATATTAAAGGTAATTTTATTATATTTCATCTATTAAGTAACTTTAAAATGCATTTTTAAATATAAATTTAATATAATTTAATTTGACATATTTGTAAGTGGTGAATAAACTACAATAGGTGACACTTTAAAAAGAGCATTACCACCAGGAGTCATACTGCCACACTAAAGTAGTAAGAACGTGTTTTTAGGTATAACCACAGTTTGTAACTATGCTGCCAGGGTGCGCAAAGGGACGGAATGCAAACGTACAGGAATATACAGTAGCTGTAAATACTCTGCTACTTGTCAATGAAGATGAAACAATGCATTATAATCCCTCCAATTTTATTTTGAAAAAGGAAATTCAAAAAGGTTTGGAACCATTTAAGGGTGTGTAAATTGTGAGTAAATGTTCTTTTTTATTGAGTGAAATATCCTTTTAACACAACAGAACACTTTTCACACAAAAAATACTTTTCACACATGATACTAAAAAAAAAAAAAAACAATATCTGAAATAATAAGTGCCTTAATCAAGCAGCACAATAATAATATAGGTCTCTGAATGTATATGTCTGTATACTATAGGATGTAAAAGTTTCAATCCAAATATGTTTAAAAAGGAATCCCAAGAGAGAAATTGATTTTAATATACATGATGAGAGCAACACACATATTATGAACTTTAGGTCAGCTTAAAAAAGAACTTTTATTTAAAAGCCTATTAACTGCACTTTAATCATTTGCACTTTAGATTCCTGAAGTACTTCATAAGCCACAATTCTTAAAAATACGAATTAGAGAAAATGAGTGTCTTAATGGGCACCACATGGTTTGTTCATTTGTTTGTTTGTTTATTGCTTATATAGATATGTATTTAGTTTTTTTAATCAAAAATCAAAAATTTAAAAATAAAAAATCCACACAAGATCTGATTTTTTTTTCATCTGCATCCAATTCCAAATGTGCTTTTAAATCAAACATATTTTCTCAAAATCTAGACATCTGACCTGTGCCTGAACTCACAGTCAATTCTCGTTGGAATTTAAACCCAAAGTGCAAGGACAGCATGTTTGCCCACAAAAATATTTTTATATATATTTTATGAAGCAGACATGCCTGTGCACACTATTGATGTGGGAACTTTATATATTGGTCAGAGATGCACACAAAGAAACATTCAGGAGCATAGAAACCTGCTTTCAACATCTGATCCGTGCATTCTATACGCAAAAACCATTCAATTTCTTAGTCGTGAGCAGCAACTTTGCTGTTTTTGTAGTTGATAGTAGCTTCACTCTAAAGAGACAACGAACAAATGCAGATTATTTAAAACAATCTCTCTCTTGTTAATTTTATTATTCAAACAAATATTAGGTAATCTTACATCTCTATGTTTTGCTTCAAAATTCTAGATCCATACAAAATGTAGAAAACTAATAACGTAAATTACTTTTTTCTCAGTATATACAGTATCTTCATTTACATCCTCAAGTTCATAATTTGTATTGCAAAGCTACTAAAAGTGAATTTAGATATACTCATTGTCTGTGTTTTCTATGAATATCATTATGTATGTACTAATATGTTGCTACAGTATTTTGGTATTATTTAATACTTAATGCTTGTAAATTTGTTCTTCAATTTGGTTTAATATATATTATAATGTGCTCTGCCAGAGCCTTCAGTGCCATATGATCCTTTAGGAATCTTCCAAAGATCAAGAAGCATTTTTATAAATATTCTGATCTATATTTAAACAGTTG